CACACTGTATATAACACTCGTTTATGTCCTTTGTGTTTTTGAAATTATTTCAATTTTATGTCAAAAATTAAAATTGCAGAGCAAAAGAAAATTAACCAATTTTTGGCAAAAATATATTTCTTCATAAATTTATGATACTTCATATGTTATCGGACATCGGTCATTTAGAAAATGTATTCTCTTTTTCACATTTTATTATTATAATTTATACCATACGCATTATACCTACTTCGTGCTCATAAATATCTAACAAATATTACGTTAACAAAATTCTACGAATATATTTTTAATGGTTTTTTATTGATCCATTTTTCTTATTTCTAGTTTATCGTCCAAAATTAATTTTTTGATTGACACCACCTACCAACTAAAATAAGCAAGTTTAGCTACTTGTTTAAATCAAAATAGTATATTGTTCTATTAGGAGTAAAAATGACACTTTTTGTGGCGAGGCTGTACGCTTGATATACAGCCGAGTTACTAAAAGTCATTTTTACTACGAATTAGAATGAGAATTTAGAATGAGTGGGAGGGGGTTAATCACTGCGACCTTACAGATCTATTGTGTCCCCCTTTCTTGAGTTTTACTCCGAATAGAACATGCTATTTTTTTTCAAACCCCACAAATAAGTTTTTAAACAATTTCAAACGTTCTAAATAATATAAAAGGATTTAAAAGTCATACCTTGTATGTTATTATATATCGGGAAACTATGGTTACGCTCGTTGTAATTTTATTTTCGTACTTTTATGCCTAGGCTATGGAGTGTAGAGGTAAGGAGAAATAACTCTTATAGGACTTTTATTGAAAAAGTGGCCACAAAACGGGAAGAATAAGGGTTCGCCAAATAACCACAGTGGCGCTAAAAACGCATAAATCTAAAAAATAAAAAATAACCATAGATAAGAGAATAAAAAATAAATATAAACAAACATTACTCAAAAAAAGTTTTGTTTTTATTTTTTAGAATACAAAATAATTATTGTTTATCAATATTTTGTGCTTATTTATTATTTAACAATGGTTAAAGTGTGTGTGGTGCGTAGTTGATTGAATAGCTGATGGAAAAATAAAGAGCAAAGGCAAAGCCGGTACGGTATGTAAAATACATAATATAATTCAGTATTGTATTATTTGTATTATATGTAAAAATTAGAGTCAATCAAAAGTGTAGTAAACATTTTTCCTAAGATTATTGACATACAATATAGTTAACTGTAAGTGCTGTATTTTAATAATCTATCAAAAATCAAAATAATCAGGATAATATTAGGTATTTTCAGACAAGAATTAGATTAGAGCGATGGTTAAAAGCATTTAGATATTGCTTTGAAATCTACAGATAAGGTATGGCAGTTTCATTTTAAAGAACAAGATGTTAAAGTTTATGATAAAATTGTCATCAGAAATACTGTCCACTTGCAGTATTTACATAGGAAAATATTGGAGGATGAAGCTCTACCTACTGCTTCAGGTTAACCTCAGGTTAATTTAAATTCTGAGTTGCCACAACAGCAACAAGCAAGAAGGGCACCATTAAATGAATATTATACACATAAGTATTATTATACACAGAAAGAGTAATGTTATACACATAAATATTAACATTTTGTAGAGCAGCAACAGAATAAAAACTACTTAGAGCAACTAAAACAGGAACCATTAAATGAATATTATACACGTAAGTACAATTTGATCGAATAAAAAACGGCGTCAGCGATGCCTATGAAATGAAGATTGCTGTCATTTTATATGTAAAATAATATGGAGAATGTCATCGAGATGTTCATTTCCAAGCCAACTGGACGCCGTGTTTTTTCGATCATACAGTATTATTATATTCATAAATAGTAATATTATACACATAAACATCCCTTGATAAAGATTAACATTTTGTAGAGCAATAACAGCATCAAATAATGGAAATAATGGACCCTATTGCTCAAATCAAAAACAAAATTTCAGCATTACCACTTTATTGGTTAGGTATATCAAGAAAAGAAATTATTGAGTTTATGAGTCTAGATCCTACAAGCAAGCAGATCTATCACATAATTTTAAATGAAGATTTATCTATTATAGTATGTATAAACACTTTGCATCTTTTATTCAATGTTGTAATGAATTAACAAATTGCAGATAATTTATTTTAACAACGAAAAAAAAACTTTGGATCAAAAAATATTTTCTTCTGATGAGGTTTATGAATATTAAAGTCTGTTGAAGTTGGGCCATTATGTGTTGATATACAATTTATTTATGATGTTACAGTAGTTAAACCATCCGAGTACGAAACATGTTTAAAATCTACTATTCTTAATGAATGGCAACTACCAACTTGAGAGGAAGCTAAGAGAAAGGTTCTATTGGGTGGACTACAAGGAAAAGGGACATATACATGAGGATCTGGAAGGGCTATAACATTACGTCTCAAGCCATGGGACAATAGGAAACAAAATTTAAAGGAAAATATTACAATACGTGGGATGCAAATTATAGTGCAAAGAATTGAGAAAAAGAATTATTAAATGTAGTTATTGTTACGATAGTTAAACCATCCGACTACCAATTATATTTAAAATCCACTATTCTGAATGAATAGCAACTACCAACTTGGGAGGAAGCTGCGAGAACGATTCTTTTGGGTGAACTACAAGGAAGACATGAGAATCTGGAAGGGCTATAAAATTATATTATTCCACGTCCCAAGCCATGCAAGCCATGTTGGAATAGCTGGGAGTGAAAAAGAAGATAATACTGCACACGATTCTTGTCTAAGGTAGTTAAGCCATCCGACTATCTAACATTAAAAATCCACTGTTCTGAATGAATGGCAACTACGATGGCAAACTTTTTCAACTTATGAGAAACATTAAAAAAGAGGCTCAGTCTATTGCTTCTGAATAATCAATAATAAAATCACATATTGACTTACTTTTATACTAAATAAATGTAGGTAAGTATGAAGTTATTTTAAAGCTGCATTATATTTATTTTAAACCCGTCACCAATTATTACTTTAAATAAAAAAATTTTTAATTATAATTAACATTAATTTTAAGCTAAAACGATCACAATATTTTTTCGTCGTCTTGAATGACATTTGCGAAATAACTTATGAGAAACAATAAAAAAAGGGCCTAGTATATTGCTGCTGAATAAAAATCTGTAATTTATTTCATGTGACATGAAAATAAAATTTGTATTTTTTTGAAACTCGCGGCTTCACGTATATGATTCACGTCAAATATTTATGTCTTTTGAATCAGCTGTTCTAAAAATGTTCGGCGCATGTCTTAAATTTTAGGTTTTTGTTACAGCAGCGCCATCCTAATTCTTCCCTTTTTTTGACCATTTTTTAATGCACGGAGTTGTTTCTCCTTACCTCAACACACCATAGCCTAGGCGTTAAAATGACTTTTTTATATTGTCAATTACGTCGCAAAAATTAATACTGTTGTGACGTTTGAAAAAAAATATTTTTTTTAAACGCTAGTCTACTTGGTCTTCAATATATGATCCAATATTCGGAATGGTATTTCTATAGCCTTAAATTTGTATCTACACTGAGATGCAAAAAAACGCAACGAAGAAATTTTTGGTCAAATTTAAAATGTTTTATTTTTGTTATTTTTAGCCCAATTTTCATGAATTTTTTCGCAAGCTGTATATAATTATATCAACTTTAATTCGTAAACTGAGTTTTTTTTATAAAATTTAGTATTTGGTATTTGGAATTTGGCAAATTTAGTATTTGGAATTTGGCAAATTTAGTATTTGGAATTTGGCAGGGTTAATCGAGGGGTTGTTTTTCTGTCCCAAATTTAAAACACCCTGTGCAATAATTTCGTGTATCAATTTTCCTAAAATATAATTTTACGGTCAGAACCATGTCTCCTGAGCATTCTGTTTTTTAAATCATGTCAATACATGCTTTGGTAAACTTTAAAGAGCGGAATGAACTTGCCACCAACAATTTACAATTTTTTCAATTATCATTTCTTTTTGAAGTTATTTTACAATATGAGAAGGCGGCTTTGGTGACTATTGTGAGCTATCTTCTACTATAAACTGCCCATCATGTTCGACGTTTGGGAAATGCTTGGCAGGAGTGTTAAAGATCGCGAGGCAGTACCGGATTCATTAAATGAACTTCGGTTGATCCTGAAAGAAGAATGGGAAAACATATTGCAATATGATATATGCAGCCTCAATGACAGTATGAAGTATGAACGGACGTATACAGGCAGTTATAGCAGCCAAGGGAGGCAATACAAAGTATTAGGATATTTTTTACAATTTTTTTTCTGTTTGTCTACTTGAGTATTACAGATGATTTCTTTAATATCGTTAGTCCCGTTATCATTATTAATGTTTATTAAAACCATAGGACTGTATCTTTAGCCTTTAACGTCTTTTTTTAATTTAGTATAGAGTCACCAAACCATATAAGATACATAATAAATTAAATCAAAAAGTAATGATAATTGAAAAAATTGCAAATTGACCGTGATCAGTTCATTTCGCTCTTAATAATTATTAACTAAAGCATGTATTAACATGAATCAAAAAACAAAATGCTTAGGAGTCATGGTTCTCACCGTAAAATTATATTTTAGGAAAATTTAAAGACGAAATCATTGCAGAGGGTGTTTTAAAGTTAGGGTAAAAAAACAAGCCCCCATTTAACTCTGTATAATATGGCAAATACTAAAGTTTATAAAAAACTTAGTTTACAAATTAAAATTGATATAATTATATACAACTTGCTAAAGAATGATGTACATAGGGCTAAAAATAACAAAAATATAGCACTCTAATTTGACCAAAAATTTCTCAGTTTTTTTTGCATCTGAGTGTAGATTATATCCTGCAAACCTTTTAATAAATCACTTATGTGAAAAACCCTGTATATGTATAAAATTTATATTTGTCAGCTAATAATTTAACAACTCTTATTTATAAGAGTTATTTAAAGAAAAAAAAAATATATTCTTACCCATTTTGGCAAAATCCATATCCGAAAATCACAGAACCGATCACGACAAACAGCCAACATTCCGAAATCCACATTTCATCAAACGGTACCCAGCTATCAATCCTCCTAATTCGAGTGTCCCACAAAAAGATCGACAGGCGTTTAAAAGCAACAACGGCGCGTTTGGCGCGTAATCTTTTTTATTCACTCCAATTTCACGAATCCGAAATATATGTACTCAAATTAGGTGTTAAGAGATAAAACAAAGTCCCGCATTTCAACTGACGGTAAACACAAACATGGCAAATAAGCTTCGCCAATCGGCGAGCGATTAAGTCTGTTTGAATTTGATTTTTCACTTTTGTTTCATCGGTGGCTAAGTGGTCCAATGACACTGATGAATGTTTGGTTTGGAATTCCACGTGATTCTCCGAGAAGAGAACGTTTTTGTCTTCGGGCAAGGTACCCATCCATCGATCGGTTCCTGGATGATAAAATTAGATGATAGACTTGTTACTTTTATGGTAGTATACTTAAGTTCACTTCCTGTTATAATACATTCGATAATATAAAGTAACAAACAAAATACCAGGCTGGAAAATGGAACACTAATTTTCATATATTTTAAAGTTCTATACGGGGTGTGTTGCAAAAGTGGCTCACCCCTATAACTTCTTTATTTCTTCAGATAAAAAAAACAGATTTGGTATGGTAGTATATGACATAAATTAGGATTGATTAACGAATTCAGTTATTTTTGGTCACTTCCTGTTTCACCGGAAATTACTACAACTTTTGATTTTTATATGGCACCCTCGGTATTATTTTACTTTATTCGATAGAAAATGACATTCTGAATAGAATGACATATATGTCAACTTTCGACATTCTCGCTTAATAAATTATTCTTCCTAACCAAATCGTATTTTAAAATTCAATCTAGAATGCCATGGCTATGTTAAAAATACTAATTCTTAATCAAGGAGCTTTGGAAAAATAGATTTGATCGTTTAATGTTTTTAGTGTCTTGTCTTGGCCAGTTAGAGAATGCTTAAATCGTATTTTCATATCTCTCAAAGTAAATCATATCTCAATTTTTTCAAATGGAACGAGGGTGGCTCATTAGCATATTTGGAAAAAGCATTTTTTTACGAATAATTTTATTATAAAATTGTAAACCTATAACTTCTGACAAGTGGTTTCCGTTTGGCTTAACGCAGAAGTGTTTACAAAAAATAACTATTTTATTTTGTAGGTTTTCTTGCAGTTGCGAAATACCCATATAGGATTTTTTGGAGAAATAATTTGATACCACACACTTGGTATTTGGAGTTAAAAAAATTTTTGTTACGAACCGCAAGTTATAATGTCAAATGAACCATATGCGAAAATGACAAAAGTTGACATATGACATGTCATTCTATTCAGAATGTTATTTTCTATCGAGTTAAATAAAAAAATACCAAGGGTGTCATTTAAAAATCAAAAGTTGTAATTATTTCCGGTAAAACAGGAAGTGGCCGAAAAAATTGAATACGTCAGTCAATCCTATACATATACTAACACATAGTGTGTTAGTTTATGTATAGGATTGATTGACGTATAGTATAGTTATCTGGTTTTTATAACTGAAAAAATAAAAAAGTTATAGGGGGGAGTCACTTTGAGACGCACCCGGCATACCGGTATGTTAGTATATGACATAAATTAGGATTAATTAACAAATTCAATTGTTTTTGGTTACTTCCTGTTTCACCGGAAATGACTACCACTTTTGATTTTCAAATGACACCGTAATGCTAAGTTAAACCATATGCGAAAATGTCAAAAATTGACATTCTATACAGAGTGCCATTTTCTATAGAGTAAAAGTAAAAAAATACCAACGGTGTCATTTAAAAATTAAAAGTTATTAGTAATTTCCGGTGAATATGTCCCTTAAAACGTGAAACATTGGATGGTTAGGCAATCTTGCTTACAAAAAATATGTCTACTGGATTACGTTTGAATTCTAAGGCAATTATTTATTTTCAAAAACAACTTTTTTAATTCTTAATCTCGATTTCTCTATAATTGGCAAAATTCTGAGACTTTTTTCAACACATGAGCCAGGAACTCACTACACTCTATATCTTTATAGACACGTATCACTATTTTACCAAAGGTTTTATGTACTTTTATAATAACCCTGATAGGGCAATACTAATTATTCTTTAGTTTCATCAAATTGACTTCAAAAATATATAAACTAGCACAAAGGGAGCATATCTTCTTAGTAACATTTTTTAAAAAGTTAAAAAGTAAGGGGGTGGGGGTGGTCCATTTTTCAAACCAGAGACTATTAAAGTGAATAGATAATATGTAATGATATAATGTATATAATGTATAAACTGTGTGTATCATCCAGTCCATCTCTACTCAAAAATATGCCCATATCAAGTAAATCAAATTTTGTTTTTCGAGAAATCCTATGTATTGTATGTATGTATTTGTATCCTATGAGAAATGATCGAAAATATACAGGATATGTTAACGATTTTAGAAAATATCATCCGAACCGTAAATTTGGTGCACTAAGTAAAAAGAAATAATAAACATCACTGACACAATTATTGTTTCTATATATTTTTAAATTTTTATCGCAAGAAATTTGCACAGAAAATGCTTAGACGACAATTATTACCTATATGATACACAGCAAACTCAGTGTCACCAATGCTTACTTATCTTTTCGCGCCAATTCGACCAACATATACCGGATGCGTCCCAAAATTGGCTCACCCAAATAACTTGTTTATTTTTTCAGATAAAACAACGAGATTTGGTATTTTAGTATATGACATAAATTAGGATTGATTGACATATTCAATTATTTTCGGTCACTTCCGGTTTCACCGAAAATGACTACAATTTTTGATTTTTAAAAGGCACCCTCGGTATTTTTTTACTTTATTCGATAGAAAATAACACACTGAATAGAATGACATATCAAGGTGCGTATTCATTATCCGAACGAACGAACGAATGAAAGTGCGGTATATTTAGATGGGGACCGAACGCATGCGGCCGTTCGTTCGTTCGCTCGACCATCCGTTTCGAGTCGGTACATCAAAGGCGTTCGCCAACAAATGCCTCTGGTCTTCTCGTGCGGTCCTATCGTGCGTTCCCCGTCCATACCACTAGCGAACATTCGTTCGTTCGTTCGTTCGTGCGGATAATGAATACGCACCTTCATATGTCAACTTTTGACATTTTCGTATATGGTTTATTTGAAATTATAACATGCGGTTCATAACGACAATTTGACTCGAAATATCAAGTGTGAGGTATCAAATTATTCGTAAATTTTTTTTTTCCAAATATGACAATGAGCCACCCCCGTTCCATTTGAAAAAATTGAGATATGATTAAAAATACGATTTGGGCATCTTTAAACCGATCAGGATAAGGCACTAAAAACATTAGACGATCAAATCTATTTTTCCAAAACTCCTTGATTAAAAATTAGTGTTTTTAACTCAGCCATGGCACTCTAGATTGAAACTTAAAATGCAATTTGTTTTTGAGCGAATATGTCAAAAGTTGACATATGATATGTCATTCGATTCAGAGTGTCATTTTCTATCGAATAAAGTAAAAAAAATACCGAGGGTGCCATTTAAAAATGAAAAGTTGGAGTCACTTCCGGTGAAACAGGAAGACTTCAGGAAAACAATTGAATACGTCAATCAATCCTAATTTGTCATATACTAACACACCAAATCTCATTTTTTTATCTGAAAAAATAAAAAAGTTATAGGGGTGAGTCACTTTTGAGACGCACCCGGTAGATATGGTTGATTAAATGGCCAAAGCACGCATAGAAAGAAGCAAAAAAAATGGCAAACAAACTGAGCGATATCACACGCGACTGATTAGTTGGTTAAATTAAACTGGTCGATTTAGCGACCATCAACCTATAGTATGTTCCCGGAATGTCTTTACAAGAGGAAAAATGTCTTTATTATTGACATTTTGAGAAAAATTCATTCTTCATAATTTTTTTAATTAATTAGTAGTTAGTAATAATTGGTAATTAGTAATTTAATAATTAGTAGTAGTAATTTTTTCCAAATTTCTATACCATTTTAGAGAAAATTAAGAAAAATATGAAAATATGGTTGAATTTTTTCGAAGTCCTAAAAATAAAACGCGTTTCTAAGGTAATATAACTTCGTTTTCATTTCTTGATAGATTGTTATTCATAGAATTTTAATCTACGTAATATTTTTTGTTGTTTTAAAATGATAAAGAAGTAGAAAATTTATTTAGTTCAATGCTACGGAAAATACAATGATGGTTTTCGGAAAATTTGATACTTTAACTTATGACTTTAACAACAACAAAGAATATACAAAGAATATGCAAAAAATTCAACCATATTTTCATGTATTTATTAATTTTCTCTAAACCGTTATGGAAATTTGAAAAAGTATAAACGGGATTAACCATTTTGGAACAAGCAAAATTTTTTATGAAGAATGCATTTTTAATAATAAAAAATATTTCCCTCTTTTAAAGACAATCCGGGGACATACTTTATAAAGGGATAGTCATGATGAAAAAACATTTTAATTCTAAATACGGAAAACTACGAGAGGATTTTTATAGATAACCCACTGAATGTAGTAGTATGGTTGTTCAATTATTTTAACATCAGAATATTCAACCAAAGGAACTGCAAATATCGTTTAGATACATATTTAATGACAAGTAAAGCCTTTCCAGGAGTATATTAATATTTAAAGATATTTCGTATTCAAATACATAATAAAAGCTAATCTTTATTAATATATGATATTACAAAAATGTGTTAATCAAGTGAATAAAATACATTTGTATTTTGTACTCAAATCCTCTTTATTTATAATAATTTATTAACGAACACAATTAAGTATGTCATTAATTAGTATATGGGCGGAAATAATGGTGTTATATTTAATTAATGGTATAGTCTTTTATAAAGATTTAAATAGTTTTCTTTTTGCATACAAATGGGCTAGTAATATTATCGCTTTACTAAAAACGATAATATTACTAGTCTGTACATTTTGTACATTTGTTGCTTTAAAAACATCTAAAATGTCAGTATTCCATGGGTATATTGATAAATGATGTCTAAATTATAAGAAAATGCATTTTCTACGAAAACTTGAAGGGATAGGTAAAAAATATAGGTATAATACAACTTGATAGACAATTTGATTGTGCATCTGATTCTCGAAAATATACAGGGCATTCCATTTAAATTAAAGGAGTTAATGCCGTTTGAAGCTAATAATTATTTAAAATAAATTTTTAGACACTCTGTATAAGGTAGTATTATTTTTATTATTGCAACTCAATAACTGATCAATAAATAAACTTCATTAAATTTTTAGTATTAAAAACATTGATACCCTTGGAGAAACGAAGCTTTAAAATTTTTACTGCAATTTCACAAAATTGAAAATATTTCAAAAACGATAAGGTTTAAGTATAATAAACCTTAATCAAATTTACCTTTATTTTAATCGTAGAAACTAAAAATGTAATAATATACAGGGTGTTCCATTTAAAAAAAATACAACTTTGATATTTTCTATTTATTTGGGCACTCTGTATCTTGTAAAATTATTTTTAAATTGTACCTCTAATAGTCCTTCATCGAACCCAAAACTTACAATTTGTAAAAATCTCATCGTTTAGCTACAATACTCCGTGTCGTATGTGGTGAACAACCCTGTATAAAATAAAATAAGACTCAATGAACATCCTAGTAAACTTTTACATCAAGCCTTTTAAAGGTTATGAATATGTGTATAATTTTATAGGTTGATAAATAAAATAAAGCCACACTTCAAACCGTATGATCGAATAAAAACGGCGTCAGCGATGGCTATGAAATGACGATCGATGACATTTCCCATATAATTTTACATATGAAAACTACGAGTGCCATACGCGAGTATGGAATGAAAGACGGTGCCATGCGCACTTACGGAATGTACCTGGTAATTAAGATTGTTGCAGAAAGTAACGCCTGGCTATAACTTGATAATCTTGCAAGAGTAGCTGTGGCTCCGTGACTGAGGCCATCGCTTCGTGAACGAGAGGTCCGTGGTTCAAATCTCACGCCGCGCCGGACCATAACTTTTTTAATCTTTTACAACTGTTTTTATCTTTTAAAAAAAGCTTTAAATATTTAATAGCAATCAAAATACGGATTGCGTTGGTTTCACTCTTTTTGGTGGAGTTAGATTGATTATTTGGTGGAGTTAGTAGCGTTGGTTATTTTGTGGGGTTGATTGCGTTGGTTAGGTTATCTATTTGGTGGGGTTGGTTTGATTTTGGTTGGAATGCTCTATAACAAAGCGTTAATAGTAATGTCTAAGGTACATTTCGTAAGTGTATATGGTACTGTCTTACATTCCATACTCGCGTATGGCACTCGGAGTTTAATTGGTTTAAAACTCAAATCTGACCAATGGGATGGCTAGGTGCCGTATACATGTACGGAATGTATAAATGCATGCGGTACTACGGACACTCCATTTTAGCTCACGCACTAATTGAAGAACTTTAACACATTTAACAATATTATGGACGATGTCAAATCCAAATTTTAAACGAACTAATTTTTAAATTACTTTTAATATAGGACACGTTGTTCTATTAAAAATAAATAATAAAAATACGAATCATTTTTAAATACTTTACAAAATTATCAATATTGTTATCTAGACGTGTGTATTTATTAAATATTGTATAGTAGCATTAAATATGCTTTGCATTTGTATAATTAATGCAATGGTGCCCTAAAAAAACTACTTATAGTTTGTTTTTATTTCAACATAGCAAATAAAATTTACAGGTAATGTAAATTTTACAAAATATACAGGTGTCCTGCAAACTTATGAGAGTAATAAAAGTATCTATTATTTGATTTAAATATATGTATGTTAGACTTTTTACTTTCAACAAAACTGAGAAAAATGCGCTTTAAAAAGGGGTATTTTTTTATTAATTAGGGTAATTTGTTTATATCAATCTCAAGAGTAAGAGCTATTTAGAAATTCTATTTATATGCTAAAATCAAGTATTTAAAACTAAAACAAACTTATTGATTTTTATTATATTGTTGCGGACCCGTGTGGACTCGACCTAACCTAACTATATGTCCCGCCCTCGGATGACCTTAACATCGCATTAAAGAATAGACACCGTAATGATTCATTCGAAGATTCGAGAAGCATCGAGTTCTACTGGAATGGAGTGGTACATACGAGAACAATCGAAACCTTCTCTATGCACCTAACGATCTATGGACTATTCTAGAGACCTTTAGCTGTAGGTATAAAATCCGGCGGCTGTGGCCTAAAGAGGGCAGTTATAAATAGACGAGTGCAGTTGACGCGCTAAAATTCAAAATAAATTCTTAGTTATAAATCGTTTGTAAATAGTTCTATAAGTCTTTTATCGTTATTGTTTTTGTTAATTAGTGTTAAATAAATAGTGTTTAAATAAATTGTGACTTTCTATCCACACGGAACCGACGAAAAACGTAACAATATCGAGTGCGCCTCGAAAGTGGCTCACCCAACTAAAAAACGATTTGGGATGTTTATACCGGGTGCGTCTCAAAGTGGCTCAACTTTTTTATTATATCAGTTAAAAAAACGAGATTTGGTGTGTTAGTATATAACATAAATTAAGATTGATTGACGTATTCAATTGTTTTCGGTCACTTCCTGTTTCACCTGAAATGACTAGAACTCTTGATTTTTAAATGGCACCCTCGGTATTTTTTTTACTTTATTCGATAGAAAATAACACTCTGAATAGAATGACATGTCATATGTCAACTTTTGACATTTTTGCATATGGTTTATTTGAAATTATAACTTGCGGATTGTAATCAAAAATTGGACTCGAAATACCAAGTGTGTGGTATCAAATTATTCGTAAAAAATGCTTTTTCCAAATGTGCTAATGAGCCACCCTCGGTCCATTTGAAAAAATTGAGATATGATTAAAAATACGATTTGAGCATTTTTTAACCGGCCAAGACAAGGCACTAAAAACATTAGACGATCAAATTTATTTTTCTAAAGCTCCTTGATTAAGAATTAATGTTTTTAACATAGCCATGGCACTCATCTAGATTGAAATTTCAAATACAATTTTTTATTAACCGAGAATGTCAAAAGTTAACATATGATACGTCATTCTATTCAGAATATCATTTTCTATCGAATAAGCAAAACTATACCGGGGGTGCCATTTAAAAATCAAAAGTTGTAGTCATTTCCGGTGAGACAGGAAGTCACCAAAAACAAATAAATGCGTCAATCAATCCCAATTTATGTCATATACTGACATACCAAATCTCATTTTTTTATCTGAAAAAATATAAAAGTTATAGGGGGTGAGCCACTTTTGAGACACACCCGGTATATGACATAAATTAGGTTGTGAATAAATTGTCAATTGACGTATTGAAGTGATAAGAGTATGAAAACAGGAACAGGAATTGATAAAAGACAATTGCTGTTTCACCGGAAATGTCTACAACTTTTGTAAAATCGCTTATTTCTGGGGCTTACTCAACCGGGTCTCACAACAAATTCACCTCAAATATCCATTTAGTTGGTCATTGGCAAGCACTCTCTCATTGTACATGAAAATAACAAAACAAACATTTACTGATCTGGATAAAATTGATAGTTAAATAGTAAAACTCACCCGGGGGTACTCCCACCCCCTAGCCGCTGACATCACTGACATTCTATTTAATATATCCCATTCCATATCTTCCATCTAGCTAGTGTCACCTGAAATAGTATAGGGGCTTCCTCCGGACGCAAATCTGCCGCTAAACAGATTCGCATCCCAATCGAATAGGCTAATTGGGGTACCTCACTACCCCAACGCCGTATCGTGTCAATCGAGAAGACAAGGGAGACCTCAAACTCTCAAGACGTCACAAGAGGTTTTCTTCTCAATGACCCGTTGCCTTACAGGACATGCAATTTTTATAGTCAAAAGACTCGCAACCCCCAAATGACAAAACACAACACTACAGCCGGCCGGCCCGTCTACTACTAATCTGCCTCCGGCAAGCTAAGCCTCCTCTTATATCACAATTTTACCTGATCACAGATATTTACAGCGCTTCCAGATGGAGCGGAGCGTCCGCGACGGACCGTCCGTCGTGTTTTTTCAAGATAGCCTTCAGACGAACTCCGTCGGACGGAGCATACGTGACCATGTGAAATTGTTCATATAAACTCATGGTACTTGCTCGAAGGGGCGGACGCTCCGTCGCGGACGGTCCGCTCCATCTGAAAGTGCCGTTACATCGCTTGCCAATGAATCATACAATTTTCTCTAATCGACTTTCAAATAGAGTGTTTTAGCATTACTAGATAATTAAATAGAGAGTTTCCGAAGGAATGCATATTCTTTATTAGAATAGTGAATAAATAAAAGCATTATTACAACAAACTTTTGAATTTTAAATGGCACCTTCAGTATATATTTCTACTTTATTCGATAGAAAATGACACTCTGAGTAGAATGATATATCGTATGTCAATGTTTGACATTTTTGCTTTAAAAAATCGTATTTTAAATATCAATCTAGAATGCCATGGCCGTGTTAGAGACACTAATTTTTAATCAAGGAGCCATGGAAAAATAGAATTAAATAATAGATTTTAATCACATCTCGATTTTTTCAAATGGAGCACGGGTGGCTTATTAGCATATTTAGAAAAAATATTTTTTTACGAATAATTTGGTACCACACACTTAGTATTTCCAGTCAAATTATCGTTATGAACTGCATGTTACAATTTCAAATAAACCATATTCAAAAATGTCAAAAGTTGACATATGATATATTATTCCATTCAGAGTGTCATTATCTATCCAATAAAGTAGAAATATACCGAGGGTGCCATTTAAAAATCAAAAGTTGTGGTCATTTCCGGTGAAACAGGAAGTGATCCAAAACAATTGAATACGTCAATTAATCCTAATTTCTGTCATATACTAAAATACCAAATCTCTTTTTTTTATCTGAAAAAATAGAAAGTTATAGGGGTGAGCCATTTTTGAGCCACATCCGGAATATTAAAATAAAACAACGTATTCATGTTCATCTAACTAAAGTTTAATAAATAACTGGTTAATAATAACAGTTGAATTACATTAGTTAAATGAAAAACTTAATATATAACTATAAAACAAATAGGTATTTAAAACTCAAGTTTTTGTTACAATTTTACAATGCATAAACGAAGTTCCAATAAAGGATATTGAAAACGAGGAACGTGGCAGGAAAGACGATTCTTGCTTTTCTGTCAATCCAGATAGCAACGTCACGTGGGTTCATTTCGGCCCATTGCTGAGATGGCGTCGGTGTTGGTGGTGAACCAGCTTCAACGTTTTGATCGCTGCCGCCACAAGTTGTGGGAGCGTTGATAGTAGGCACGTTAAGCGAATTTGATGATCCCTTAAATAAAACAAACATTTTTATAAAACACAAATACCCTTAATTCGCAATTTCAAACAATTTCAGATTATTTTTTGTGGGTCTATGTGAAAAGCAAAGCTTACAAAAACAATGCGCAAACCATTCATTCGAAATTTTACGAAGAATATGTTTGTCGTGGGCGGCATTCGGTAAACTAAAGCATATACTGAGATCTGATATTTCAATATGTTTAAAAAGAGAGGTCTTTAACTAGTGTGTCTTGCCTGTCCTCACGTATGGAGCTGAAACACTTACTTTGACAAAAAAGAGCATACATAAAATACAGTAGGTCATGCAACGGAAAATGGAAAGGTCCATTACAGTTGAGAGTTGGAACCTTTGGTGTCAGTTGTCATTGGGCAAGACAAACAGCAAAATAAAAACACTAAATCACCACAATACACCAAAACACTTTTACTTTTACACTGGACGCGCGTTTCGCTAACCATGTTAGCATCATCAGCAGATGATTATAAACTGAATACAGTTGATACAGATGATTATACAGATGATTATAAACTGAATACAGTTTATAATCATCTGCTGATGATGCTAACATGGTTAGCGAAACGCGCGTCCAGTGTAAAAGTAAAAGTGTTTTGGTGTATTGTGGTGATTTAGTGTTTTTATTTTGCGGAAAGGTCCATGTTGGGAGTTACACTTAGAGAGTATAAAATACCCAATCATACCATACGAAATCGAACAGAATTAAGAGATGCGGTGATATCTGTCTTACATCTTAAATGGAATTGGGCAAGACATGTGGCTAGGATGACAGATGGACGGTGGACAAAGATACTTGTGGACTGAAGACCAAGACACGAGGCCTATAGAAGCAGAGGACGACCTCAGTCGATGGACAGATGATATTAAGAGAGTGGCTGGAAACTGGATTCAAGTGGCACAAAATAGAAAGAAATGGCTAGAGTTGAGGGAGGCTTTTGTTCAGCAGTGGAATAAGCTAAATGATGATTATGATGATGATGAAACCATTCAATTGAAAGAAGAAATTAGGCGAATAATTCTTGACATACCTAACTACAGAGATGTTCAGCAGTAATAAAAAATTTCAACCAAAGAATGGTGTGCTACCAGAAAAGTCGATTTGGCAGATATTATGTTCCACCTTTAATTGTACAGGGTAAGTCAACGATAGAGTAAAGTCCATTATCTCATTTGTTTCGAGGTTTACAAAAAAATGTTAAATACAAAAGTTATAGGGAAGGTTAAGATACATATTTTAAAATTATTATAGAGTATTATAGAGTAGGGTCCTTCAAAAATGTGTGGCGAATATAACATATGTTTTTTTAAATGCAACACCCTATTTTTATTTTATTTTTAGATTCTGCGTAAAATTCTATAACTTTTTTATATATAATGTTATATACCTAAAATTAATAGTTTTTGTAAGATTTAAATTTGTTTATACAAATGTTAAATTGCAGTGTGGTAAAAAATTGTCAGTTGTACCACTGTTTCTGAAGTTGGAATACCAAAATTTGGTATGAGAGTTCTATAGAGATTAAAAAGAAGATATATGTTAAGATATTTTAGTTAAATGCTACAGGGTGTTCAAAATATATTTATGAATTTCAACTATTTAAAATTGTTAATCTCAAATTTTTAAATGGTACACCCCTTTATATTTACATATTTTCTGATAGATTTTGCAAAGCTCTTCAACTTTTATTAAGTAAAACATATTTATTACCTATTTTTAATAGTAGTTGCGATTTATTCCAATTTTTTCTATTTTTACCCTCATTTTTTATACAATTACGCTATAAACATCATAGTTGCCGTGACAAAACAAACATATTTATTACTTATTTTTAACAAGTAGTTTAATAATTAGTTACAATTGTTATTATTAGTCAAAATTAACTAACTTTACTCAAATAAACTAAAATCGTAGTCGTGAATTTCTTGGTGTATTTCTATATTATGAAAGATGACATTTGGATTTTCCGGGCCGAATAGCCACAGATTAGGGTAATACTAACTAGATTACCTAATTGTTGACGACTACTGGTATTGAAACTTTCTCCGACATAGAGTAAAGTTTTTTTTCTCGTAGTAATTCTGGTTTATAATTCATTTCGTAAAGCCAATATTACTACTGCCAGAAAACCGTCCCATTACACACTGAAAATATTATAATATAATATAATATGAAAATGTTTTCTAGATAATCTACATCTATTCTTATAGTACTTAGCAAAGTACTATATAATATATAGTACTGAACCAAAGAATATGTTTATTTTGGCTTGTTCGTGTATATCAGTCACATTGACTAATCCATTTTCAGGAAAATCTGAAACTATTACCTCTACCTCTACCATTTATACTTATTACAACAAATTAAACTAAAATTCACCTTTTGTTCTTAACTTGCTTAACAGACATATGAAATTTTGATAATAATTATTATTTTTTGTCATGGCAACTATGATGTTATAGCGTAATTGTATTAAAGATATGGGTAAAAATAGAAAAAATTGAAATAAATCGCAAATTATTAAAAATAGGTATATGACATACTTAATAAAAGTCAAAGAGCTTTGCAAAATCTATCAGAAAAATTCAAAATATATAGGGTATACCATTTAAAAATTTTTAGATTTTTTAATTTTAAGTAGTTGAAATTTATAAATATATTTTGAACACCCTGTAGCATTTAACTAAAATATCTTAACATATATCTTCTTTTTAATCTCTATAGAATGCTCATACCAAATTTTGGCATTCCAACTTCAGAAACAATGGTACCACTGACAGTTTTTTACCACACTGCAATTTAACATTTGTATAAACAAATTTAAATATTACAAAAACTATTAATTTTAGGTATATAACGTTATATATAAAAAAATTATAGAATTTTACGCAGAATCTAAAAATAAAATAAAAAATAGGGCGTTGCCTTTAAAAAACATATGTTATATCCGCCATACTTTTTTGAAGCACCCTGTATACTCTATAATAATTTTAAAATGTGTATCTTAATCTTCCCTATAACTTTTGTATTTAACATTTTTTTGTAAACCTCGAAACAAATGAGATAATGGACTTTACTCTATCGTTGACTCACCCTGTACACTGTCCAGCTACGCACTGCCAACATTTAGGTATGTTATGAAACTTTTATTTTATTTGTTATAAACATCCCAAACATAATTATTATTGGAATACCCCTTTATTTTCTTAAACACCAAGAATAACAGAATATTAAAATTACATTATTAAACCTATACAGGGTATTTTCACGGCATCGCCAAAATGGGAATTTTAAAAAGGTAAATTTTAAAATGTATCTCTATTTCTTTAAATACAACACACTGTATATTATTTTTCGTTGGGAGGCAGAATTAAGAAATCAACATTTTTAGTGAGTAAAGTCCTAAATTTTTAGCTGTTTAGTAGATATTCGCTGTATTATATTACTTATGGGGTTTTCAACGGTAACCATACTAGATAAAGATCATAATAATTGCAGGGTGTTGTTTTTAAAAATATGAGATATAGCATTTTAAACATTGCGATGTTGACGACGCCACAAATATTACTCTTATACAAAACAAAATATTTTAAGGATATGCCCCTTTTGCAAAACTCTTTTTTATATCTTCGACAACGACGACGATATTGAACTTCCTCGCAATAATGAACCACCCTGTATATTTCAAAAGCAAGTTAATTAATTAATTCAATAATTTTGAATAAATATATCTATCTAATATGTAGGAGTGTTTTGTTCAAATAGCTTGTTTTAACGAAAAAGTTTGAAAAGGGAATTTGCATCAATACTTAGACCCTAAAAGGTCCAAGCATAACAAACAAATACATAAATAATTACATATAATAACAACTATTCAAAAGTTTCCATTTTATTGAGATTTGTTAGGCTGTTCGTACACCAAATAAACAGTATAACACATAGTCGGAAAATATTGCACAAAACAGTAAATGTATGTCTGCAAAACTCAGTGGATAATTATAGGATCTTAAATTAAAAAAAGAGGTTCTTACATAAACTAGGAAAATGAACAGATCACATGATTTACAGAAACAATTGACTCTTGCAATCTCCGCTTTGCTATTTTACGCAAGGTCTAATGTGCTATATCGTTTATATTATTTACATAATATCCTACAATGAAAGTCATATGATCTGCCGGCAGTGGCGCAACTAGACACTCACTTTCAGGGGGGCTCAAGTCTTTTAGGTGGCCTCAGCTCACTTATAAAATAATATTATTTTCAGATTAAAGCTTATTTTAAACTACTAGTTTAGGGGGCAAAGCACCCCTTAGCTCACCCCTAGTGGCGCCACTGTCTGCCGGGCTTTATGTGGAAAAGCGAATTTTTGGTATGGATTTTGGCAATATTCAGACTCCATCGCTTGATGAGGATTTTTTGATCATACGGTACTTTTAATACATCTACAGGGTGGCGTCTCTCGCACGAAGCGGAGGCTCCTAGGAGAACCACAGTTTGTATTGAAATTAAAATTTAGGTTAATTTAAAGCATATTTTAAGAATATAGTCCGATGGGGTGTCTCCAAAAAAAGTTACACATCAAAGTTTTGTTTTTAGTAATGAAACACCTTATATATTAATTAATTTTCAGATTCTCCTAAAAAAATAAAGGTGAGTTTTATTAAAGAAGTATATAACTTAAATTTTGCCTATATTGGAATTTACTCGGTATAGCCTAATATGTATTTGAAACATCCAATTAAAACTAAAGTTGAGAAGTAATACAGTGTGAAAAAGTAAATATTGAAAATTGCAATGGTTACATTTAACAAGTTACTTTTTTAGTTTAAATAGAACACTCAGTGTATTTTCTGATATCCAATAGAGAATTCATGTTTCTTCAAAACACTATTAAATTAAGTTTATCTACCCCCTAGACAAATCTTTTTCTAGATATATTCATTTTTTTTCATTTTTCTCTAAAGCAGTATGGAAATTTGAACAGTAATAAGAAAGTGTTTTCTCTTATAAAGATAATTCGGTGATAATTATGATTCTTAGTATTAATAACTAAAAAAAATGTTACTTTTATTTTTTTTTTAGTTTTTTAATAGCTTATTTGGGAAATATTTAGAAGCAGAACTAATAAAGCTACAGCTTAAAATCGAAAAGTAATATCTATCTAATATTTTAAAATTATTAAAGAAGTAAATATTAACGTACAATAAACACAAAATTTAACAGAATCTTGATCATAAAATATTAGGGAATTGAAAATTTCAATGATATAAATGTTTACAGACATTCCACAAATCTATACTAATATATAAAATCCTTAAGTGACTGGCATACTGATTAATCACGATCCTGCTCAAACCACTCAATGTAAGAAGCTCAATTTTGGCATACAGGTTGATTCTAGGGTGTAGAGGTTCGATAAGACGGGATTTTTCGAAATTCCAGTTCCAAGAGGGTGAAACCACCCCTCAAATATTACAATATTTTTTATTTAAAAAACGGTCAAGTTTCCGAAAAAACGCTTAAACACGTATATTTTATTTTGTTTTTTTACATATTTTAAGATTTTTTAAAATGTATACAGGGTGTTTCGAAAAATCTGGTCATTGATTAATCACGATTCTGCTTAAAGCGCTTGACGTAAAAAGCTGATTTTTGGAAAACAGATTGACTTTAGGGTGTAGAGGTTCGATAAGAAGGGATTTTTCGAAACTCGAATTCTAAGGGGGTGAAACCACCCCTCAAATATTAAAATATTTTTTATTTAAAAACCGGTGAGTTTTTCGGAAAAACTATTAAACACGTATATTTTATTTTGTTGTTTTACATATTTTAAGATTTTTTATAAATTTATACAGGGTGTTTCTTAAAATATGACCATTGAGTAATCACGATTCTGCTTAAACTGCTTGACGTTAAAAGCTGATTTTTGGCAAACGGATTGACTGTGGGATAAGGAGGGGTTTCTCGAATCTCAAATTCCAAGAGGGTGAAAACGCCCCTCAAATATTACAATATTTATTATTTAAAAAACGGTTAGTCTTTCGGGAAAACGCTTGAACAAGCATAATTTATTTGGTTTTTTACATATTTTGAAATTTTTTAAAAAATCATACAGGGTGTTCCAAAAAGTTGGGTAATTTCTTAACCACGATTCGGCTTAAACTGCTTGACGTAAAAAGCTTATTTTTTCTCATGCTGACATAAATGTGAGAAAATTTTATCCAGTTTGTATGTTAATGGAAATTCTTGCTTCGCTTTATCATCACCATTACAAATGATTAATTCGACGCGAACGAAGTCGCTGGTATGGGCTAGTACAGTTATAAAATTGAAGATGAAAACTTACATGAGCATTCGAGAAGTTTCCGGAGAATCTATTATCGGCACTTGAGAACGAATCTAGTTTCCTAACTTCCTTTCTTGCTAATCTTGGAGAAACAGCTCCTTTCAGGATGTATTTGCTGCTCTGCTTTGCAATTTCGACCTTCTTCCTAAAAATTATAATTATTATGTATCAACCTATATACATGTTTTATTTATAGTAAAATATATTTTTATAATACTTATTATAACAGGAGTAGATATGGATTTTTAGATATTATTGCATTAAACAATTCTTTTAACAATGAAGCAATAATTTCAACAAGATTTCCATATTTAACTTCAGTAATTTGTCAAGTTTGAACTAAGTCTTACTTCCTTCTCCAGATGATATTGACAAAAGCAAACTCAGCCAAGGATAAGAATATGAAAGTAGCTCCTCCGAAAAACCAGACTTCACTCGCTGTCACATAGTTCACTTTAGGTAGATTTTTCATAACGTTTCCGTTTAGTGTGATAAACGACAACATGGTTGTGGTACCTATAGACAAAAACTAAAATTAATATTTCATATATAAAAATTCATTTTATCTGTCCAAAATGTAATAAACAATTGCAAGTTGATGTTTAACAATTTATTGAAAGAGATGTAAATGAATATAAATATTTTCTACGTCAAATTTAATAAATTTTTCGATTAATTAATTACTTTTTTAATTTACTCTAGAAGTTCCTGGATAAGTGTATACCGAACTGCAAGATAGACTCATTGGTGCATAAGTTTTATGATGATGATTCCATACTACTTAAAAAGAACATCAGAAAAATTTTGGCGAATAGGAAAACATTATTATAAGTATAATAATTTTTAACTATGAAACAATTCTAAGAAGTGTTTAAACAAATCCAAGACCGGAAACTTCAAAACCAGAGAAAGAGTGCTTCCGCCAGGTACCTTGAATGCGGTGTATAAGTGTAGTAATATATGTAGGTAGAATTTTACAAAATTATATTCACTTTGCATTATGGCCAAAATTATTGCATATATCGTTTAAAAATATACGGAAAGGTATTTAAAGAATCTTTTTTTATACATAGTTTTCATAATTTGTAATAAACATTTTTTTTGTTAAAATGGATATGGTAAACAATGTTTATCGTTCAGACCCAATATTATTACAAATTCTTGCACATTTCGATTTGTGGTCTCTTGGGTTTCAGAAGAAATTTGACCATTGTTTTGGTCTTAAAATGCCTAGAAACATTATTTCACAGTTTAATAAAGTCATAATAGTCACACTGTCTCAACAGGGCTACCGGCAAGTTGCAATAGCAGAAATCGTCAGTTAACCAAAGCGATGTTTCGCAAATATTAAAAAAAATCAGGGAGACAAACGAGGTTACAGACCGGCCTGGAAGAGGTAGAAAGAGAGTTACTACTGCTGTGCAAGACCGTCAATCGACCGTCAAATATCCCTAATTGCACGACGCAATCCCCTGCTTTCTAGTACTGCTATTAAAAATGAGTTAGCTCGCATTGAAGGAGTAAATGTTTCAAGAAAGACCATAGCAAGAAGACTCCATGACAGAGGATAACATTTAAAGAGGCCTCTACGTGTTCGAAAACTTAATTTACAGCACAAAATTACGCGACTACAATGGGCTGATTAGATGAGAGCAAATGGACCTAATTGGAATTTCGTCATGTTTAGGGATGAAACAAGAATAGGCCTAGTGTCAGACTCGCGACGAACTTTGGTCTGGAGAGCAACTGGAAGACGAGCACGCTTGAATGCAGCTCCACCCTGTGTCCCGTTTCAAAGGGGAGCATGCATTATGGTATGGGCAGGTATAATGCACGGAGCTCGAACTCTTCTTGTTTTTATCGATGGCACAATGACAGGTGCCACATGTCTTAGAGACGTTTTAGAGCCTATTATTATGCGTCCATTTCGAAGGGCAGTGGGGGATGAATTTGTTTAGATGGACGATAATGCTCCTCCCCATCGCACTTTAGCGATTCGCGAATTTTGTGAGGAAGAGGGTATAAGAAAACTGTGGTGGCCACCGATGTCTCAATGAATGTGATCGAGCATGCTTGGGACATGCTAAAACGCCGTATTGCCAAAAGGAATGATTCCCCCGTACCTTAAATGAATTGGAAATTGCTGCGCGCGAAACATGGGAAGCCATTCCTCAACATTTTCTGGACAACTTAATTGAGAGCATGCCACGTCGTCTCACAGCTTGCATTGAGGCTCGAAGAGGCAATACAGACTATTAGTTGTGACAAATAATTAAAATTGTTTTCAATATTTTCTGGTTAAAATGAAATTTGTTTTTGTCGATTTTCACTTATTATGAAATAAAATTATAATAACAGCCTAGTTGCACTTAGATTTTTAATTTTATATTAGTTAGTCGTGTGGTAAGCCAATATGTTCAAAAATATAAAAAGAATCATATTAGGTCCAAAATAAAATAAAAATAGCGTTATATGCAATAATTTTGGTTTGGCGTGTATTTACCAGTTTAACGATTTTTAATACTGATTCATACCTAAAGTTGTTCTGGCAGGGCTTGAATCTGTCTGAATCCAGAACGAAAACCATGAGATCATGACGAGCAAAATTGATGGTAAAAAGTAGTCCAAAATGTAGTAACCAACTTCACGCTTTAACTTAAACTTAAAGACCAAAGAACTGTATCCATCATCTAGAAGTAAAACTGCCTTATATTAACATAGAATGTACGTATTTGTTATTATCAAGTGTTGTGAAGCTATAAATAGGTGAATGAAAAAATACTGAGACACTTGTAATAGCTGACAGATGATTTAGATTATTTTATAGTTTTAATTGGGGGACCTTCCTTCGTATATTTTATCTACAGCACAAATTTGTATAATACTTTTTATTATTATAGTAGTTAAAAATATATATAAAATAATTAAAATCTGTTTCTAATAAACAAAACTGTTTTTACCCATCTTCTTCTCTATAGGGTATCTTTTTTTATTATATTTTTTTATTTAAATCACCTAAGAGATAATTTAAGATATATTTTAATGTAGGCGCCCTACTATTAACAAGTACTTATAATTATTTAATTTTTATTAATATTTAATCAGCAGAGAGCTCTCCATCAATCACTTCTTCTATTGAACGTATCTGTCAATCTATTTTTAGTGCATTTTTTAAATTTTACTTTAGATATATCTCATCTCAAATATACACTCATAGATACATATATAATAAATTACTGACCCCATTTATCGGTGCCGGTGTCTTGAGTTGTAGCATCTTCTACCCACATGTCATCTAAGGAAAATTCAGTTAAATGAAGATTCTTTGCTATGGTGAATGGCTCATACTTCACCCATTGCAGATGTAGATTTGTATCATTGTACGCCCCTAAAATATCAAAAATATGCAATCAGAAAGTTTAATAACTGTCATTGTTATACAGTTTAACAGTCCTTTGGTTTTACAACAGAAAAATAAAATACTAGTTCACCATATATAACAAAACACCACTGGACGTACGTTTTGCTAAAAATATTAGTAGTATCATCTGCTGATGATGCTAACATAGTTAGGAAAGTGCATACCCATTGTTAAAAGTAAAGTGTTTGGGTGCATTGTAATAAACTAGAGTTATATTCCTGTTAAGTTAAAGTAATTTATTATAAATACGTTAAACATAATAACATGTAACATGTTTCAGTTAATTTTAGAATTATTTTTCGCAGTATAGGTATATACTTTTATACAGCTTTAAAAATAGTAATATTTTTTTGATAAAATTTAAAACGGAAAATAATAAAATATCCGAGGGCACGGTAGTGTCCCCGCCAAGTCGAGGCAGTTTCGACCACCCTGTAACTTAATTATTATAAATTAATTTTCACTAAAGATGAAGAGATACTAGGGCTGGCTAGATTGCCAAAATATCTAGTAATTATACCTCATTGTTAATGAATTATCCCTTGTCAAATTTCTTTAAGTTCGACATTGACTCACTGAGATATCATCAAAATTCTAAGGTAATTCTAGATGTGTTACAAACTTCAAATTTTGAATTTTAGGTAGCTTTAAGCTTATAACCAAAGTAAAAAATGAAAAATCTCAAAATATCCTTATGGATTAAAAGTTATCTGTCTAACCGCTACCGGTAACTGGCTTTCCAGTCGAGAAAAAGGTAGAAAACTAGAATTAATCGATTTGATCTCGGCTGATTTTATTTGTATATGAATGTAACAACAATAATTCAAGGATTATGAATTTGTGCTACTCAAACTTCTTTAACTTCGACTGTGACTCACTCATATGCTCACTCACCGTCATCAAAATTCTAAGGTATTTCCGATCCAATCATGTCAAGTCTTGCAGCAGAATTCTTCTACTATAAAAAGTTGTGAGATCTCAAGTAAAATCAAGTTTATTTTATTTACACACATGGCCAAAATTATTGCATATATCGTTAAAAAATCTTTTTTTATACATAGCTTTGATAATCTGTAATAAACATTTTTTTGTTAAAATGGATATGGTAAACAATGTTTATCGTTCAGACCCAATATTATTACAAATTCTTGCACATTTCGATTTGTAGTCTCTTGGGTTTCAGAAGAAATTTGACCATTTTTTTAGCCTTAAAATGCCTAGAAACATTATTTCACAGTTTAGTAGAGTCAGAATAGTAATAATGCCTCAACAGGGCTACCGGCAAGTTGTAATAGCTTAAATTGTAGGAGTTAACCAACGCGATGTTTTGCGAATATTAAAAAAAATCAGGGAGACAAACGAGGTTACAGATCGGCCTGGATGAGATAGAAAGAGAGTTATTACTACTGTGCAAGACCGTCAATCGACCGTCAAATATCCCTTATTGCCACGACGCGATCCCCTGCTTTCTAATACTGCTATTAAAAATGAGTTAGCTCGCCTTGAAGAAGTAAATATTTCAAGAAAGCCCATAGAAAGAAGACTCCAGGATAGAGGGTTACATTTAAGGAGGCCTCTACGTGTTCCGAAGCTTAATTTACAGCACAAAATTACGCGACTACAATGGGCTGAGGAGATGAGAGCAAATGGACCTAATTGGAATTTCGTCATGTTTAGTGATGAAACAAGAATTGGCCTAGTGTCAGACTCGCGACGAACTTTGGTCTGGAGAGCATCTGGAAGACGAGCACGCTTGAATGCAGCTCAACCCCGTGTCCCGTTCCAAGGGGGAAGCATTATGGTATGGGCATGTATAATGCACGGAGCTCGAACTCCTCTTGTTTTTATTGATGACACAAAGAAAGGTGCCTCATATCTTAGAGACATTTCAGAGCCTATTGTGCGTCTATTTCGAGGGGCAGTGGGGGATGAATTTGTTTACATGGACGATAATGGTCCTCCCCATCGCAATTTAGCGGTTCGCAGATATGAATGTGATCGAGCATGCTTGGGACATGCTTAAACGCCATATTGTCAAAAGGAATGATCCCCCATTACCTTATATTATATGGTACCTTAAATGAATTCAAAAAATTGCTGCGCGTGAAACATGGGAAGCCATTCCTCAACATCTTCTAGACAACTTAATTGAGAACATGCCACGTCGTCTCACAGCTTGCATTGAAGCTCGAAGACGCAATACAGACTATTAGTTGTGAGAAATAATTAAAATTGTTTTCAATATTTTTTGTTTAAAATGAAATTTGTTTTTATTGATTTTCACTCATTATGAAATAAAATTATAATAACAGCCTAGTTAGACTTAGATTTTTAATTTTATATTAGTTAGTCGTGTAGTAAACCAATATGTCCAAAAATATAAAAAGAATCGTATTAGGTTCAAAATAAAATAAAAATATCGTTATATGCAATAATTTTGGCCATCAGTGTAGTTTCTCTTTAAGCACCTATTCAACAATTTTGTTATAAAGTATCAATATTAGTCATCTTTATTTCTATAATAATTACAATGACTTGGCAATTGCACGATATGATATTCTCTACTAATTAAAAAAACTTATTTTTAAGGGCACTGTTTAGATTTACGTAGTAATCGAAATGATATATGATAGATTATTATAGTTGGGGTTTGGAACGGTTTGATGTTACAACAGCAAAAATAAAACACTAAATCACCACAATGCACCAAAATGCTTTACTTTTGCATAATGGTTAGCATCATCAGCAAATGATGCTAAAATGGTCAGCGACACGCGCATCCAGTGCAAAAGGAAAGTGTTTTGGTGTAATGTGGTGATTTAGTGTTTTATCTTGCTTATAGATTCTTGTTTTATAATTATGGTGCCATGTGTAATTGCCAAGTCATTAGAATTTTTACAGAAATAAAGATGTGTAATATTGATACTAACAATTTATAACAAAATTGTTGAATAGGTGCTTAAAGAGAAACTATATAAATAAACTGACTTGGTTTTACATGAGCTGTCACAACTTTTTATAGTGGAGGAACTTTGTTGCGAGACTTGACATTTTTTACATTCTATGTTTTTGATGGGATATAATATAAAAGTAGTACTTTTGGGTCTATTTAGACACATACTGTTTATTATAAGATTCTATATTTATTTTTCAATAAATTTAAAATCTGCTGAATGACGAATCTAGCGGTCAGGTAAGTTTATTATTTTGCATCACATAAAATAGGTTTGTTGATTAAGTATAGCATAAAAATTGTAAATATTTGATTTGAAAGTACTAAAATCCAATTGCTATCCGTTGGCTATAAAATAAATGTGGTATTGTTACAAAAAGCTATAAAATAATGCAATTTGTATTTGTGTTTTTGTTTGTAAGTTTCTATTAAATGATATCCAGTTATAGGAATGTAATATTAGTCCTTTTTATTTCTCTCTGTAGATTTTTAATACAATGACTTTTTACTACATAAATTTAGAGTTTATGTTACTGGGATCGCTATAAAATTGCTACATATTGTTTATATCTTTGTAGTGAGATCAATACTTAAAAATTTCAGAGTCATTTTATATTTCACAAATATTTTAATTTTTAAAGTCCTATGGTTTAGTGACGACGCTCATAATACTGAAACTAAAAAAAAGGTAATTGATAAAGGGGATTTTTTTATTTGACGTTTAAGTTAATGTAAAATTCCTAATTTTTTTCTTGATGTGTGATCGATCCCTAAAATCGCGCTTATAATAGGAATAGATATTTGCTTTCTTAAAAATATTGCAAAGCCAATTCAATTTATAATTTTTTTGTTAAAGTGGATATTTCGGAACGCAATGTTAATTATAAGGTAGATAACTTTGCAAAACAAAAATGTCTTGATTTATAAAACACATTTCTGTAAATAAACAAAGTATACTTGAAATTCAAGCATACGGACACTATAAAAAACTTGTGTTAAATTTTAGCGGTTGTGTTGAATTAGTGGTTTATTTAGTTTTTGTTTACTTACAGCTTGTCCAGATTATTTCACACAATTGGTTATCAAACGGGAACTTTCTAAGGTTCATAGCGCAGTAAAACGTGGTGGTCATTCGGAAAGAATACAAAACTCTTCCAGAAGGGTTTATTTTAACAAATACATCTTTCCTAAATAAAAAAAAAACGTATTATAAAACAAAATACAATAATATAATTTCGAAATCTTACTGGTCTAAACCCATTAATCCAGAATTTCGTTCGTTCTTGACCACAATATGGGGGACCCAAACTTTACTTCTTAGAGTTTCCTGTCCAAGAATGTTACCTCTATTAGGTGAAAGGTCTGCGAATTTCAATCGGTCATCTTGGAAAGAAACTTGAACCAAAAGATGCGATTTGAATTGCTAAAAAAAGAACGGGAATGAGTTTATAAGAAATTGAATTATCTGAATCTAGAGGAAAATATATAACTTGTGATCATGTATGATGAGTGTCATATATGATATGTAATGACTATATGATAAGTTCTAACTCAAGAAAGGAGCACACAATAGAGTTGCAGTCATAAGAAATGTATAATATGAGTTGAATTCGAAAACCTCGTAATATCTCAATTAAATGTCAGAACTGTTAGATTTCCTCAAACTCAAACATAATATTTAAAAAAGGCGTCCATTGAACCCAAAGAGACCTGATTTGACTTAGAGTCTTATTGTTTTGGCTTTTGTCAAGCATAATATCTAATCTCATATAATTACTTAATGCATTAGCAGCTGCTTTTATCTATCTTACAAGCCAAAACTAGCGAAACTACTTTTCTATTGTGCTAATTGTCCCTGCAATGTAGATGGCAAATTTCGATTTTGTTTGAATTCTGGGCGAATAACTTCCATTCGTATCGGGTGTTAGTTCCATAATCAGTCACTTGTAGAATGGTTATTTCATGCACTTCTTTTAAAGATGCCATTTGATATGCACTTAACTAAATTCAAATGAGTACAACACTAGTAACTACTGTCCTGCCATGAGAGAACAACTTTGCTAAGGTCCCTTAATATTACCGAAACACTAGAAGATAGGTATGGGAGACATGAAAGATGGCTAGAATTTTCTGAAGAATCCAAAACTGAATTATATAGACGGTATGTATTTAAAGGTGGGTATTCACTTGCAACAAAACACTCCGAACGAACCGAACGCGCCGCGCGCGCTGTAACAAGTTTGTGTAGTCAGTACGTTGCGCCGAACCGAACCGAACGCGCCAAACATTTTCCGAAGCTTGTCGGTAAACGGGATTTGCTCAAAAGAATTTGTTCGTTGGCCGGTGTTCAGTGGATACGGCAGTTTTGAATGTTCGTCGTGTTTGGGGTGTTTTTAAACTGTACCTAGCTATGGAGTGGAACAGAGAAAAGTGTTTAGAGTTCCCAAGCAGCATTTGGACGTCGGGACAACGTTGTGTCACGCGACCAAACGTCGGGGCGCAACGTCGGCACAACCTCGTGCCAACCCTAGTCTGCACTAGTTTGGAGAATAATTTTTGGGTCGAAACGACGTTGGATACCGACGTTGGCTAGAAGCCTAATTTAGTACAAACTGCAACGTTGTTTAAAATCCTAATTCACAGAAATACAAAACTAATATGGCGTCTAAGTCGCGTTTTATCCTAAATTGGGATAATTATAGCAAAAATATTATTTTTATGATTTAGTTAGAGACATGTGTCAGATGGCAGTGAAGGAAAACAAAACAAAAGTATTTAAGTGTGGAGGATGTTTGAAGATCATAATTATTGAAACACTTTAACCGACTCTGTAACTCGTTACCCAAGGCAAAAAAGTTAAACGCAAACAACTTTATTGATAAATGTATTGTTTCTACTTTGAAAAATACTAATGGGCCTTAAAATTAAAGAAGTTTTAAAATTTTTCTTGAATTTTTTTTTTAGTAAAATGAGAATAATTTATTCGCAGTCGAAAAAATTGTTTCCGCGTGTTTTTTAGGGTCAAATATTTCAAGTTAATGTATTCAAAAAGCAGGAATTGCTATTTTAGGAACGAAACATTTTCTTATTTAGCAACATGGCGGCTTTCACTTTGTTGTTTTGGAGATTAAGATGAAGTAGTTTTAGTAGTCGCATACTGGACTAATAAAGTCGCAGTTCGGCCTTAACAGGTAGTATACTAGTCGCAAGATTGCCTAATTTAGTCATCCTAGAGTCTAGCTTGTGCCGCCCTCTATAATCTAAATAAACGAGGGAGTGGATAAATTATCGGTAATATATGTCGATGTATATTTAAATTTAGTTTTATATGTACCTTTCTTATGTCCCATTTTAATTAAGTTTTTTTTTATAAAAACAAAAACAGCACTGAACTGTCTGACTGAACAGAACAATGAAGTGAAAATTTAAGATTTAAGGTTATGGTTCAATACAGTTGCAAAAAGGTAGTGACTCGACGTCCTACCAACGTAAGAATAAGGAAATCTAAACAACGTTGGAATTAGTAAAACAGACGACGTTTGCATAACGTTGGAATAAGTCCTGAAACTGACGGCGGAAAACTCTATATTGTCCAACGTTGTAACTACGTTGTCCGAATCACCTAAAGATCACTTAAGCAAAAAGGGTTACAAGACAACGTTTATTCGACGTCGTAGAAGCTTCTACTTTGCTGTAGTACTAGTCCAACGTCGGCACAACGTTATAAAAACGTTTAAATTTATTTTAATACCCAAGGTAGGGAGCTAACTATTTTTTGTAACTAATCCAACGTTGTGTTTAGTAAACATGTGGTCGCAAGTCGTGAAAATGCTACTTGGGTTAATTTATGAGTTTGAAAGGCGGCCTATTTTATTAAATTAATAATTATTAAATTAATTAAATTCTTCTTATGCATATAATCTTGGTCACTAAGTAAGGCCATTGGCGGCGTTAAAAGAGGCGTCTTGCCCACATTTTTCGTCCTTTCCTTTTTTTCTCTTTTTTGTTACCTGCTAATGCCTCTATAATTACAAAAGCACCAGGGTCTATGGTAATATCAGATGCATCCTTATCGACAAACACACTAACACTGATTCACACACTGATTACTGGTGGGAACGCAGCGAACACTGCAAACAGGCGGAACGCTCCGCGCAAAATGTTTTGTTGCAGGTCGTTCAGGGCGCTCCCGGAAAATGTTTTGTTGCAGATTGTTTGGAGTGCGCGGCGCGTTTGGTTTGTTCGGAGTGTTTTGTTGCAAGTGAATACGCACCTTAAAACATGAAAGTTGCTACATGATTTGTTCATGTACAAAAAAAATTGGTTGAAAAAATACGAAACTAGAAACACCGATTGAATTGTTTGAGCATTTTTGTTCTGAATATACTTATATGATTTAGCTGTTACTTACTGTATACCGGGTGCATTTCAAAAGTGGTTCACCCCTATTATAACTTTTTTTTTTTCAGATAAAACAACGAAATTTGGTATGTTAGTATATATGACATAAATTAGGATTAGGATTGATGTATTCAATTCTTTTTGGCTACTTCCTGTTCACTGGAAATGACTACAACTTTTGATTCTTAAATGGCACCCTCGGTATTTTTCTTTTACTTTATTCGGTATATAGAAAATGACATACTGAATAGATGGACATATCTTATTATGTCAACTTTTGACATTTTGCTTAAAAAATTGTATTTTAAATTTCCATAATTCCATAGTGCTACATCTGTGTTAAAAACACTAATTTTTAATCAAGAAGCCTTGCAAAAATAGATTTGATTGTCTAATATTTTTAGTGTCTTGTCCTGGCCAGTTAAAAGATGACCAAATCGTATTTTTAATCGTATCTCATTTTTTTAAAATGGAACGAGGGTTAGCATATTTGGAAAAAACATTTTTGTACGAATAATTTGGTACCACACACTTGGTATTTCCAGTCATATTGTCGTTATGAACTGCAGAGTGTCATTTTCTATCGAATAAAGTAAAAAAATATCCAGGTTGTGTGTCATTCAAAAATCAAAAGTTGTAGTCATTTCAGGTGAAACAGGAAGTGACCAAAAACAATCAAATATATCAATCAATCCTAATTTATATCATATACATACCAAATCTCGTTATTTTATCTGAAAGAAATAAAAAAGTTAAAGAGCCACTTTTGAGACGCACCCGTTATACACATTAAAAAATAGCAATGATACTTACAGTGTTTCCTGCATTTTCAATATGTTTTACGTCAATTTGAAAATCGACATCTAATCGATTTTCGGAAGGTGGACGAATCAATCGATCGTATCGACAGCTTGATGTTAAAGCAGCTAAAAATTCTTCTTGTGTTAAATTATCCATTGGCGGCTGTAGTGGTGGACAATTTTCTGCTATCCTTTAAAAGAAAAGGAAAATATTATTTGGGTATATCTTTAAATATGTGCAGCGCATTGTTCCTTTGATTAATCAAAAATAATCAATGTTTTATTTGAAAGAAAACCAGTGGCCAGAGGCATGATTGGTTTACAAGAAACGGTATTGGAAGAAACAAAAATTTAAAGAAAACCGTGAAACGAAAAGGCAGATAAAATGGCCAAGCAAGGCTCATCAATGCCATTCTTTGGCCCAGAACCCATTTGCAGCCTTGTAGAAGCTGTCACGAGAATAGCCACGGAACGATGGGTGGCCAGTGGCCAACAAATCTCTAGAATGGTGGAGAAACTCACCAGGGTAGTAGTTTATAGTAGAACATTTGCCAAAATTCACAGCAGACTTGATAAGTAAAGAGAGAAAGATAGTCAAAGCTGTAATGGGTCTACCAACAGGGCATTCAGAATGAGCAATATTTTGTCACATTTGTCAAATTTAAAAACAGTTAAATATCTGCGTTTTATTCATGCGACCAGTTGCAAACTATAACCCAACACATGTTTGGAAACTGTTAATTTTATGTGCCCAGTATGCGTGGGAATTAGGGCATTCAATCCCGGGATCCTGTTTCCCGGTATCCCGGGATCCCGGACATTTTTTCAATCCCGAAATCCCGCGATTGTCTTTTATTTAATCCGGGGATTTTCGGGATTCATCATTACATTTTTTTCCTTAATTTAAATCGTACACAAGTCTTTTATGATAATACAATATGCTCTTATAAACAACCCTGAATGTATGGCAACAATGTACCTTATATTTTCCGTCACGGGGTCCCTGCTACAGCTTGTTTTTTTAAAAGGACTTTTTTCCAAAAACTCAAGTTTAGATCCTCATTTTCTATTACTGCATAAGTTGTTATTTAGTATCTTAGTAATCCTGTGTTATGCTGTATTCGATTGGTTATGTAAATTAAATAAAAAATGTATATTTTAGTTCCTTTTATGTTTTTTTTTTGTTAAATAAACTTACATGTTATGTTGTTTTGTAATGGGGATGACGTTTAATTTATGTTAATGTTTTTTTTGTTCAATAAAATTTTGTAAAGAAAGAAAATATAATTCCAACGTAATTAATTTTTTCGTGAATCCCGGGACCAATCCCGGGATCTCGAGATCGAAAAATTATAATCCCGAAATCCCGGGATTGAAAATTTCTTTCGGGATTGAATGCCCTAGTGGGAAGTGAAACACCAATTTCTGTCAATGCATGTGTGAACTAATACACATTTATTTTTTTAAAATTTAGCAAGAAAATTATTCTCTCACACATCGTTGTCGCAAAGGATACATAATAATATCACGGCACTTTATTTCTTTACTAAATGGCTACACATAAAAAAATCTTAACTTCTGTATTTTAACTGTAATATAATTTTTTCTGTAAGCTAGGCGTATTAACTTTGAAGTGTTCCTACTGCAGTAGTCCAATAATTGAATGGTTGATAATCCACGAATGGTTGTCGTCTCGGCGCACTCAGTGATGAGGTGTACTGGTGTTTCACCATCTTCCCCACAGAATCTGCATTCGCCGTTTCTTCTTAGTTTCAATCTACTGAGGTGTTCATTGAGGAGACAGTGTCCTGTTAAAAACCCCGTGACAATCCGAAGATTGTTCTTACTCAGACCCAGGAAGATCTGTGATTTTTCTTGATCATAAGCCCTCGTCGATAACAATATCTACATCAGTAAGCTGTTACTGGAAACAATTTTACTCGTTTCATCTACATATATTGGTTGAAGATGACAATCGGTTGAAAAAAACGGTTAAAAATATTTAAACAAAATTCTGGAAACGTTTTAAAAAAACAAAGGCACATTAAAAACCTCTAATAAAACGTCAAGGTTACCATTGAAAACTATAAATGATGTCATCTTTCTTTTTTGAGTCGCCTTCGAGAAATATTTTTTACGTAAAAATATAAGCTACTTAAAATAATAATAAAATTGACGCGTGTTCAAGCATTTTTTTAACTCTCTGATATAATAGTTTAGAGACTTGAACTGTCACGATGTGAACGATATATCTGGTGATATATTATCGTTCCAAATGTTTATGCACAGAGAAATGGACAGGCATCAACAGTGGCGGATAGAGAGGGGTGGCCCATGGGGCTCGGGAACAGGGCCCCATGGGTGAACATGTTTAATTTATGTCAATGATGATAGGTCTTGATAATTTCGATTCCAAATATGTCGAGAACCATTCCTTGTATCGATTTTTACCAAGAGATCTTTTTACGCAAAAAATGTCGTAAATTTATATTTTTTTACTCACTAATTTTATACAGGTACGGACGAAAATTTATTACTCTTCATACCAATTAAAAATATGTAGGTGGCGCCCTCTACAAGTGGGAGTCATATTGACATCAAAATCAAATTTCTCTTGTCAAAAAACTCCCAAACACCAATTTTTATCCAAATATTGACGTTAATTCATAAATTATATTTAGAAAAAATCGAGATAAATATGAAATTTGTACACCCTGTATTTCCGAAACTAAGCATTTTAGGACATAAATTTATAAGAACTTTTTTACCTATTTTTATCTGCAGAATATGCTGACGAAGTTTCCGGAATACAGTTTGGACCACCCTGTATAATATTATATTTATAAGCACTAACGGCAAAAAAGTATTAAATCATTATTTTGGTTTTTAACTTAAACTTCTTAAGGTAGTAACATTCTGTTCTTGCCTCAAGTTTTATAACAATAGAATGCGTTTCTTTTTAATTACTATACAGGGTGATCCGAATTTTATTCGAGAAACTTCGCCAGTATCTGATATATATATATAGCTTTAAAGAAATAGAAAGTTTTATTTATTATTTCAGTCAAATAACTATACAGGGTGCTACAAATTCGAGGTACGAGTATTGGTATCTCGGTAACCGTAATAGATACGAACATGATTAAATTGGGGCAAAGTTGCGCTTTATGATGTTCACCAAGATGCCATCAAAAAAGTTTTAAAAATTTCAAGGATTGCTGAGTTTTTTGGAATAAACGGATTTTTTTGAAAATCAATTTTATTTTTTCCTGTCGTTACTTTAAAGAAAATCAAAAAACTAATTGCACATTCTCATAGCCAGTTTATTAGGGCTATTTGATAGTATTTTTAGATTTTTAAATTAGCTGATAATTTGTGAGATACCAGAGGCCAACTTAATTTTTTTAAATACGGACCTGCATTTTTTATTTTCGGTTTTGAAAGAACTCGGTCTCCTGAGTACAATGAAATGCCACACTTTATACTTTTTTTGTTTTGGTACCTTAACAACAAAAAACTAATTTAAAATAATTTCAAGTCCGACTCTGTTTTTTTTTAATTATTTAATCTGATTATATTCATCGTAATATACATATTGATCAGCGCTAATTAACATTGAATAAGGAAAATCGAGCCAATTGGAAGATTCAACTAAATTATATCCAGGTCGGCAATTTAAAGATATTATTTTTATTTATTTTATTGTGAATTTTAAATATCAGTGTGGCGATCTAATAATATGCGTAATATTCATGGTAGTTATTATAAATAAATAAACTTCTACAAACTAGTTTCTAATGTTCTACGAAAGGGTTACAACCCTCCCTATTGCACAAATTTATTTTTCGTTCAATTTTATTTATAGCTCTTTGAACTTTCTTCTTATACTTCCGAAAGCATTTTATACTCTTTATTCTAAATGTTGAGATGTATTGATGTAAATATTGTATTTCACTTTTACAAATGACGTGAAGTAATGTATTCATTTGTATATTATTTTTTATTATTTTATTGCATTTGATTTTCAATATTCAATGTTTTACCCCACGTCATTTTTAAGTTTGAAAGCTTATCGATATTGTAACGATGAATAGATTAAATATTTAAAAAAAACAGAGCCGGACTTGAAATAAGTTTAAATAAATTGTGTTCAAATGTCTGAAAAAAAATATTAAGTGTGGCATATCATTGTACTCAGGAGACCGAGTTCTTTCAAAATCTGAAATAAAAAATGCAGGTCCGTATTTAAAAAAAATAAATTGGCCTCTGTAGCTCACAAATTATCAGCTAACTTGAAAACCTAAAAATACTATCAGATAGCCCTAATAAAGTGGCTATGAGAATGTGCAATTAGTTTTTTGATTTTCTTAAAAGTAACGACAGGAAAAAATAAAATTAATTTTCAAAAAAATCCGTTTTCTCCAAGAAACTCAACAATCCTTGAAATTTTTAAAACTTTTTTAATGGCACCTTGGTGAACATTCCAAAGCGCAACTTTGCCCCAATTTAACCATGATCGTATCTATTACGGTTACCGATATACCAATGCTCGAATTTGTAGCACCCTGTATAGTTAACATGTTTATTTTTTATCAATGACATGTATTGGCTATTTCCATTCCAAATATCTTGAAATCGGTTCCTCGTTGCGATTTTTATCAAGAGTCATTTTTTACGTAAAAAAATACTTTACAAATTAGTTAAAAAAATATGTAGGTCGCGCCCCATAGACACCAATTTTAAACCAAATATCGACCTTAATTAAAAAATTATATGGAAAAAATCGAAATAAAATAAAATTTCTACACCCTGTATCTCCGAAAGAAAGCATTTTAGGACATAAATTGATACGAACTTTTTTACATTTTTTTATCTGCAGAATATCTTGCCCCCCGAAGTCAGACACATTTCGAACAATACAACCACCCCGTATAAACAATAAATCATCGATACTTTATCAACATAAATTTACGCTTGTATTGATTTTTAAAATCTGTGTTTTGTCAACTGTAATCGATAATATAATGTTATTTTCACTTTATAGCATTGTTTCCATAAATATAAAATAATAAAAGAACTCTAGGATTCTGATACTATATCAACTGAATACTAAAATTTCTATAATTCAAATAAGTTAATAACTTCTATAAATCAAAGTAAACTCAAAATCCTTTAGCTTACCTTGTCTGGCAAAATATATCCCTAAAAACTGATCCAAAAAACACAACACACCAAACCGTATAATTAGAAGTCCACATTTTTCTAAAGTATAATTATAATTTCTAATTAACCTATTCTAATGATCCCCCAACCGAGTTGGTCACGGTCTAAACTAAAAGTGCCCAAGATGCCTTAATCTCCTATAAACCAGGACACTCAAATAGATGGTAAAAAGATAAAGATTCATGCCGAAACCTATAGTAAATATCTATAAACATGGTAAATTAGTTTATAGATTTACTCATTAATAAACTTGCTGTTTGGAATATTGTTTATATATTGTTTGGTTAAGCGTAAATGGTATAATATAGCGTATAAAAAGCTATAAAAATTCCATATGGTACAGTGAGAAAAAGTTTTCTAATACGTTATTTACTTGTTCAAGGAGAGATTTGCTTTTAGTTCATTTAAACGCAATAATTCTTTTATATACTACTAGCGTGTACCCACGACTTCGGTAGCGTCGAATTAATCGCGAAGAATTTCCATTAACATACCAACTGGATAAAATTTTCTCACATTTATGTCAGCATGAGAAAAAACAATATGGCGATATTATTATATAACTTGGTAATATTTGAGGGATAGTTTCATCTCGTTGGAATTTGACTTTCGAAAAATCCGTTTGCCAAAAATAAGCTTTTTACATCAAGCAGTTTAACCAGAATCGTGGTTAATCAATTACCCAACTTTTTGTAAACACCCTGTATGATTGTTTAAAAAGTTTCAAAATTTGTAAAAGAACAAAATAAATTATGCGTGTCCAAGCGTTTTCCCGAAACACTAACCGTTTTTTAGATAACAAATATTGTAATATTTGAGGGGCGTTTTCACCCTCTTGGAATTTGAAATTCGAGAAATCCCTCCTTATCGAACCTCTACACCCCACTGTCAATCCGTTTGCAAAAAATCAGCTTTAAACGTCAAGCAGTTTAAGCAGAATCACCATTTATTAAGAAATTCACCATTTTTTAAATAAAAAATATTCTAATATTTGAGGGTATATTCATCCAAGTTTCACCCCCTTAGAATTTGAGTTTCGAAAAATCCCTTCTTATCAAACCTCTACACCTCTACTCTTTAGGAACCCTAAAGTCAATCCGTTTTCCAAAACTTTAGCTTTTTACGTCAACCGCTTTAAGCAGGATCGTAATTAATCAATGACCAGATTTTTTGAGACACCCTGTATACATTTTTAAAAAATCTTAAAATATTAAAAAAAACAAAATAAAATATACGTGTTTAAGCGTTTTTTCGGAAACTTGACCGTTTTATAAATCAAAAATATTGTAATATTTGAGGGGTGGTGTCACCCCCTTGGAACTGGAATTTCGAAAAATCCCTTCTTATCGAACCTCTACACCCTAGAATCAACCTGTATACCAAATTTGAGCTTCTTACGTTGAGTGGTTTGAGCAGGATCGTGATTAATCAGTGAGTCAGTCACTTAAGGATTTTATATACCTATTAGTATAGATTTTGGAAATATATACTTAATCCCATCAAAAACATAGAATGTAAAAAAATGCCAAGTCTGGCACCACAATTCTTTCACTATACAAAAGTTGTGAGATCTCATGTGAAACCAAGACAGTTTATTTTATTTAGTCTCTCTTTAAGCACCTATTCAACAATTTTGTTATAAATTGTTAGTATCAATATTAGTCATCATTATTTCTGTAATAATAATTATAATGACTTAGCAATTGCACAGTACCATAATTATAAAAGAATAATCTACCATCTCGATTACTAAGTAAATCTAAGCAGTGCCCTTAAAAATATTTTTTTTAATTAGAATAGAATATTATATCGTGCAATTGCCAAGTCATTATAATCAAAAAGGGGGTTACCAAAAAGGTGGTTAAGGGTGGTCAAAAAGTGGTCCAAAATGCCGCTAATACCTTCGAGAAGGATGGTATGGCTGTCTTCGACTTGGCTAGGATTTTATTTCTTACTGAATTACGCTAACCATAAATAGAGTCATAACATGGTCATAGCTTTTTTGGGACATTGCTAACGGAACTTCAGATGCCATAATTCCCTCTACTTTTTATAGGTAGCAACCATGAAAAACAATAGAGAGAGAGAGAGAGAGAGAGAGAGAGAGAGAGAGAGAGAGAGAGAGAGAGAGAGAGAGAGAGAGAGATTTTGAATAGTGATATAACAGATGGAAAAAAACGCAACTTTAGCTTTGGCTTATTATACAGAGTTAATTAAAGGGTTGTTTTTTATCGTAATTTTGAAACATCCTGTGGCAATAACTTCTTGAGTAAATTTTCCTAAAACATTATTTTTCGATCAGAACCATGTCCTGAGTATTTTCTTCTTTGGCTCAGGTCAACACATGTCTTTCAGAGCGAAGTGAACTTGCCACCAACAATTTGCATTTTTTTCTACCATCATTATTTTATGACGTTATTTTTTAATAATATGAGGTATTTTGGTGGCTCTTCATAATCGTTGTAATGTTATACCGACACTGATTAGGTCTCTGTTTTAAAATGTAATAAAAAGTAACGATACAGGCTAGGTTATAATAAATATTAGTAACACTAACAGAACTAAGAATAATAACCCAATAATAATAAAAAAATTACTGTAATAACTAAGTGTACAAACGAACAAAAACTTGTAAAAAATACTCTAATACTTTGTATTGCCTCTCCCGGTTGTTATAACTGCCTATAGACGTCGATACATACTGTTAATGAGGCTGGAAATATATTGTGTTCACATTCTTCTTCAAGGACCAAGCGAATATTGATAATGTCGGCCATCTTCAACAAGATCAATGACTTTTGCACAATCTTTGACTCTAAGAAGCATATTCAATCGTACACAATAATCACCAAAGCCGCCTTGTCATTATGAAACGAAAAATAACGATAATTGAAAAATTTTAACAGGGAGTACTGTGTAATAGTGTCTTCTTCAAAATTCGGTTTGCTAAAATTTGCAATCTTGTTTTTATATGTTCAGGGCGAGTCAGAACTAAATGTTGCATTTTTCTCTACTGTGTTAAATGGAACACCTTGTATTTTGTATCACAATCGAACAAGGTTTTGTTTAATATTTTTGGTTTATTAAGTACTTCATCATCATCATCATCATCATTTAGCTTATACCGTCCACTGCTGAACAAAAGCCTCCCTTAACTCTAGCCATTTCCTTCTATTTTGTGCCACTTGAATCCAGTTTCCAGCCACCCTCTTAATGTCATCTGTCCATCGACTAGGAGGTCGTCCTCTGCTTCTATAAGCCTCTTGTCTCGGTCTCCATTCCACAAGTCTCTTTGTCCACCGTCCATCTCTCATCCTAGCCACATGTCCTGCCCAATTCCATTTAAGATGTAAGACAGATATCACCGCATCTCTTACTCCTGTTCGATTTCGTATTGTATGATTGGGTATTTTATCTCTGAGTGTAACTCCCAACATAGACCTTTCCATTTTCCGTTGCATGACCTGTATTCTATGTATGTTCTTTTTTGTCAAAGTAAGCGTTTCAGCTCCATACGTGAGGACAGGCAAGACACACTGGTTCAATCTTTCTTCTTAAACATATGGGAATATCAGATCTCAATATATGCCTTAGTTTGCCAAATGCCGCCCACGACAAACCTATTCTTCGTAGAATTTCGTGGGTCTGATTATCCCTTCTAATACCGATCTCATGCCCTAAGTATTTATATATATGCACTTGTTCCAAAGGTATGTTATTAATGTTTAAATTTTCACTTGGTACTAGGTTTGTCATGTATTGTGTCTTTGACAAGTTAATTTTCAAACCGACTTTTTCCGAAGCATCATTCAGCATATCCAGCATATTCTGTGCCTCCTGTATGTTGTCTGTTATTAAAATAATGTCATCTGCAAAACATTAAGTACTTATTATAAGATAAATACAATATTTGTGTCGTTTTAAAATGGGACAAAAATATATTAAATTCAATAAGAAATAATATCAACGTAAAACGTATGTATAACCTCGGGCAATTGTCCGAGACAGTAACTTTGACATCCGTAATTAACACCCATAAAGCTCGCTTGACAATTTAAGGGATGTTGGCATTTGCCTGGTTTTGCATTGTTATTAAAAATAGATGAAGTTTTTCTTAAATTATTTAAAATCGGTTTGTTCGAAATTGTTCATTTGCATGTGTATTCAGCATAGGCAGACCTTTAAAAACCTTATTTACTACTTCGCTGTAAAATTAAAATGGGAGCCAATAATTGGACAGTTTAAAATTTGCATGGGATTTCATATATGCTTCCAATGACTATACATTACTCGGTATATTACATGATGATAATAAAGTAGCTGTCAGATGTATTGGTTAGGTTAGGTTAGGGCTACTAAAGAAGGGTTGAGAGTTGATTAGATTAGGTTATTTTATTATATTTCAAATTTTTGTTATTTATTACTACGAAAGCATTTATTACAACGACAAATATACGTTAGTAGATAATGAAACAGTTTTAAGCATAGTAGGTATCAGATAAACAAACGAACTTATTTAAAATAAGAAAAATTAGCGTGAAATACTTTGGATTTCAAGAACATTCTTTCAGCTTAAAGGATTAAAATTTTTGGAAATCAGGATATTTTTAGACATTTTTAATTATGTCTATTAAAAGATAATTTATTTATAAATTTTGACGTACTATAGTGAGAGCGATATTTACTAATTATATTTCCAGATATAATTATTCCTAGATGTATGTATTTTATTATCAGCTACCAATCCATATAATTGACGTAGATACGGAAACACTATTTTTAATGAAATAATTATATTTTCGAGTACCTTGATTCTATTTTTAACAAAACTTTATAAAAAGCATATACAGGGTGTCCCAATATTCCGTGGACATAGAACTACTCCCCAAGTAGCATTTTCACGACTTGCGACCACATGTTTACTAAACACAACGTTGGATTAGTTACAAAAAATAGTTAGCTCCCTACCTTGGGTATTAAAATAAATTTAAACGTTTTTGTAACGTTGTTTCGACGTTGGACTAGTACTACAGTAAAGTAGGAAGCTTCTGCGACGTCGAATAAACGTTGTCTTGTAACCTTTTTTGCTTAAGTGATCTTTAGGTGATTCGGACAACGTAGTTACAACGTTGGACAATATAGAGTTTTCCGACGTCAGTTTCAGGACCTATTCCAACGTTATGCAAACGTCGTCTGTTTTACTAATTCCAACGTTGTTTAGATTTCCTTATTCTTACGTTGATTGGACGTCGAGTCACTAC